GCACCAACCCGTCTGCTAGACCCTCCGCGACCGCTGGTCAGGTCACCGTCGTCGAACTCGGTCATGACTCCTATGACGACGACTCGGACTTCTCCGTCCCTGAGCGCGCTGGCAACGCCGTTGTCGTGTCTTCCCTCACTGAGTCTGCCACTGCCAGCATCGCCGATATCAACATCGACTCGGGGTGTTCCATCTCGATGACCCCCGATGCTTCCACCGTGGACCGTCCCAAGCCAGACTCTACCTCAGTCCGACTAGCCGACAGCTCTGAAGTCTTTGCGACGTTCAGAGGCTCTCAGTCTCTCCCTCTCTCAATAGATAAGCAAGTCCCCACGCTCGTCGTTCCAGGTCTTCACGAACCCCTGCTTTCCGTTGCGGGCTTATGTGACAAGGATCTGGTGGCTGTCTTCTCCAGCAATTCATGCGACATCTACGAAGCGGATTCCTTTCAGGTCACCGGTCATCCTGTTGGTCGTGGCTATCGTAAGGGAAACCTTTTCTATCTCCCCTCCAATGAGGTAAGATCTTCATCCGCCATCTCAGTTCCATCATCCTCTCATGGCTGCTCATTACTGGATTATCACATCCGGCTCTCCCACATAGGTCTGAAACCCCTAAAACAACTCCTTCGTCAAGCTGGTATCACCCCAACAACGTCCAACGATATTGAAGTTACTCAATGTCCCATTTGTGTGCAGTCAAAAATGCACCGTCTTGTTGAGATCTGACCTCAATCCCTCTAGACTTTAGCAGCGTTTTATCTAAAAGAACCGGATTACATAATCAGTCTAGTTTACAATGACATCATCACTACATTTCTCTTTCTCTCAGATATATAGACCGCTCTCTTTTCCGAAACACTTCTCCCTTCCTCATGAACTCCAGAATCATATTATTATCATCTGAAATCACATCACTTCTTTTCTGGATTCATCATCGTTATTCTTTCCTCTGCACATTAAACAACCTCTTACATTAACTCAACTCCGGTCATCGATTCTTGCTACACGACCATTCTCCCTTCCATTCGACTCTCCGTTGATTCAAGTTCCCTTCCATTCGACTCTCCGCCGATTCTCTTTTAGCCAATACAGCTTCCTTACAGTCGTAGGTTCTTGACTCACCTCTTCGCTTTATCGACCGAGCTAAGATCTTCTTCCTGACACTTTTGACTATCAGTCACCTTTCTTCTCTTTGTCATTTGTGTTTTCATTGTCGTCGTCGCGTCTCTTGTTCGACTGCTCTTGCCTTAAGGTACCATTTCATTTCTTTTATCTTTCTTTCTATTGTATTTCTTAGTCACTGTGCTTATTAAGAAATCCATTCTTAAGTTTGACACTTAACACGTCTCTCTTTCACTTCTCGTCTCCCTTATCGCTCTCAATTTCCCGGTCATCTTATCCACTCTGATGTTGGTTCCTTTGAGGTTGCCTCCCGCAAGCACTACAAATATTTCGTTACTTTTATCGATGACTGTTCCAAGTTTGTTTCAATTTTTCCAATGAAATTCAAATCAGAGGTTTTCTCGTGCTTCAAAATTTTTAAGGCCTTTTTCGAAAAGGATGGAAAATTCCCAATACTCGCCCTCCGTTCTGACAATGGTGGCGAATATGTCTCTAAAGCTTTTGAATCTTTCCTCCTCACTTCTGGTATCCGCCACGAACCTGGGCCTCCTCATTCCCCTTCCCTCAACGGTGTTGCTGAGCGCACTAATCGCACTGTGGCAAACCTCATTCGATGCTCCTTACTCACTGCAAAACTTCCAAAAAGTTTTTGGGCAGACGCTATGCGCCATATCTTTCACGCTTTCAATTCCGTCCCCTGCTATACTCCTTTAGGCTTCCACTCTCCAAACTCTCTGCTGTGTCTCCCCCTTGTTGATTTCTCCTCACTTCATCCTTTTGGCTGTTTGGTTTGGCATAAAGTCCCGGACGCAACACAGAAGAAACTTGATCCCAGGGCCCACACTGCTATTTTTCTATCTTATCTTGAAGATGGAAATGGATACCGAGTCTGGGATCTCCAAACAAAGAAGGCAATCAAGACTCGAGATACAATCTTCAACGATAGCACATTCCCCTATGACCACCAAATCACAGGCCCTGCGCCAACTATCTACGTTGACCTTCCTTGGCCGGTCTCTGCTTCCATTCTTCCTTCTCCTGCCACTTCACCACCGGCCACTGATACTCCTCCGGCTGTTCCGGTCTCTCGGCCGCCTCCACCTCCCCCACCCCTGTCTCGGATCCCTCTGCCTCATTCTTTCAGAAAACTTCGAGATCCGGCACCTGCCATCCCCACCTCTCCAATCACCAGTGATTCTGACGATGGCGGTAAGTCCTCTGGTCTTCCTTCACCAATCCCGCTTCCGTCTCCCTTTCTTTGTCCCCCAGCATCTTCCCTCATGGACACCGTCCCTCCTCTCACTCTGCCCGCCTCAACATCTCCCGCGCCTCTTCCGCCTGCTGATCCTGCTCAACCTCAGGCTGTGCCATCACCCGCGTCACTACCTCTTCCCGTCTCGCGTCCTCCTACTCCCCCGGTCAGGCAATCTGGACGTGCTTGGAAGGCTCCTGAACGCTACGGTAACTGGGCTAAATCTTCTGCAGTTCTTCCTGAGGTTGTTGATACTCCCAAAACTTGGCACCAGCTCCAGAAATCACCTCACAAGGCTAAATGGCTTCAAGCTGCGGATGAAGAATTCTCTTCCCTCCTTGGCATGGATACTTGGAGATTGGTTCCCAGGCCGTCAAAACGGAAAATCATCAAGTCAAAGTGGGTCTTCAAAGTAAAGCGCCGTCCTGATAAATCTATCCTAAAGTTAAAAGCCCGGCTCGTGGCCATGGGCTATTCCCAGGTTCGAGGGGTGGATTATCAAGAAGTCTTTTCACCCACTCTGCGTCTCAAAACACTAAGGCTCATTTGCAGTCTTATGGCATCAAAATCGTGGAAGGGTCGTCAAGTAGACTTCAAAACCGCCTTCTTGAACGGCCATCTTGATCAACCTATCTTTATGGAGCAACCTCCCGGGTTTGAAGATGCTACCAACCCTGACTTCGTCTGTGAAGTCCACCGGTCAATCTATGGCCTCAAACAGGCCCCTCGTCAATGGAACCAGGAACTTCATCAAGCTCTTCTCAACTCTGGTCTCACTCAGTCCAAATACAACCCCACCCTGTACTTCAAGGTTCACGATCGTAAACTAATGGGGGCCATAACCGTTCATGTCGATGATCTTGCCGTTGTGGGGGAAGATTCCTTTGTCGACTCAATTATTTCCAGCCTTGGAGAAAAATTCAAGATTGGCGCAGACAAAGACCTCCATCATTTTCTCTCGATCAAGTTTACACGTGATCATGAGAACAAGTTTCTTTATATGTCTCAAAGTCACTACATTGATGACATGGTCTCTCGCTTCTCATGGCCACACACGGCTACAGACACTACTTCTCAGCTTTCAGG